TAAAGAGGCTAGGACTTTTCAGCTTGGAAAAGAGGAGACTAAGGGGGGATATGATAGAGATCTATAAAATCATGAATGGTGTGGAGAAAGTGAATAAGGAAAAGTTATTTACTTGTTCCCATAATATAAAAGCTAGGGGCCACCAAATGAGATTAATGGGCAGCAGGTTTAAAACAAATAAAAGGAAGTTCTTCACACAGCGCACAGTCAACCTGTGGAACTCCTTGCCTGAGGAGGTTGTGAAGGCTAGGACTATAACAAGGTTTAAAAGAGAACTAGATAAATTCATAGAGATTAAGTCCATTAATGGCTATTCGCCTGAATGGGTAAGGAATGGTGTCCCTAGCCTCTGTTTGTCAGAGGGTGGAGATGGGTGGCAGGAGAGAGATCACTTGATCATTGCCTGTTAGGTTTACTCCCTCTGGGCACCTGGCATTGGCCACTGTCGGCAGACAGGATACTGGGCTGGATGGACCTTTGGTCTGACCCAGTATAGCCGTTCTTATGAGCACATGTGTAGCTTTACTCTCGTGAGTAGGCACACTGATCTCACTCACGTGAGTAAGTGGTGCACGTTTTCAGATGGTTGCAGGATGGGGGCCTGTGTTGGTATTATGGAAGTCCTGAAGCTCCATGTAGCCTGCAGCTCCAGTCCTCTGTGTGTGCGCTCATTTCAAAAGAAATGTTTAGAAAGAGAAATAGGTCAGAGTATATTAGCCAGTGCTGAAACTCGAATGTGATGGAGAGCAAAAAAGCTCTCTTTCCAATGTGGAAGAGTTAGCTCCTTTCCCGTAGGCATTCTGAATCCACGGGGATAGAATAAATTAAAAATCGTCACCCTTCTGTCTGCAGGAATCTTCAATCTCAGGGGCCCAGAGAGAGAGAACCTTGTTTTCGAATCACAGAAGACCTTGTCCCTCCAGGCTTATGCTAGTTCTTCAGTTCTGATCTCAAGAGCTTGTGATTTCCCCCCATCTTCCCATCCTACCACAGCCAAATTCAACCACTGCCATTAAAAAAAAAAATTCTCTTTATTTTGGTATCTGTCATACCTTCTAGGAAAAAAAAAATCACTTGCAATATTTATATTTGTGGGATTCTGACTTCAGACTAATCCTGATGCAACCTGGGCCCAATCCAGAGAACTGTCTGATCGCAGTATAGAAACCTGTTCTCAGAATTAGCTTCAGCCACAGTCCGTATCTTTTCCCCTTCAACAAGTCTCATCTCTCTCAAGCGATTCTGTCTTCTGCATTGAAATTCTCATCAGATTCTTCATTTGTATCAGGGTAATATTCTTTATATGTTAATCAGTTCAAAACGACAGAGTAAGCAAGAACTGGGGACTTCAGTAACTGTACATCCAGCACCAGCATTTATGAAGGAAAAAAGTATCCGCCTGTTAGTGTGTGGTAGGGCTCATGCCGTGAAATTCATTTAACCTACTGAGAGCCATTGTATGCAAATGAGGCTCTTTGCATGTTCAATTTATTTCTTTGTGGCATAACTTCCCCTTTTCTGCACTTGGAAGCAATTGGGCGCTGGGCTTTGACCTCTAAGCTGAGTACCTGGTGGGGGGTGGGAAACACTTCAGAAATTAGTCCTTCTGAAGTGACTTTTGGAAATGTTGCCAAGCCTGTGGAACTCTTCTCATCACGTGTGGGCGTCCTTTGTAAAGTACTGTGAGATCTACAGATGAGAGGCTAGATAAGAGCTAGATATTATTATTATTTATTATAGGCTTATGACTACCTGATTGGACAGATGAGGGCTGCAGGACAGGTGCAGGTTCCCAATGAACAAGGCACCAAGTCTGGCTTCCCTTGCACAGTTTCCCAAGGATGGAGCTACAAGAATGGCAGGAGGAGAATGCCAGTCTGGAAGGTTAGGATCCAGGTGCTGAGTGGCGTTTTATCTCTGCTGCTCTTTATGGTGACTTGTTTCAACTGGTTATAAAGATTTGCTCCTGCTAGAAAATCCTTGCTGGTCATTGCTGTCTTATTTTGCACTTCTGCTCCACCAGTCGTTTTACCAGCTTCTGCTGCTCCAGGTTGGTAGATTACTCTTCCTGGGTCTGAAATCCCACCGCTAACACATAGGAAATTTCTCAGGAAATAAGACTTAGGGTATGTTTACACGTGCAGCGGCACAGCTGCTGTGTGTCTGATGAAGGCGCTTTATGCTGATGAGAGAAAGCTCTCCCATCCGCATAATAAAATCACCTTCGCGAGTGGCAAAAGCGACGTCAGCGGAAGAAACTCTCCCGCCGACATAGCGCTGGCCACATCAGTGCAACTTACGTCACTCGGCGGTGGTTTATTCACACCCCCCGAGCGACGTAAGTTCTGCCGACATAAGCTGTAGTGTAGACATAACCTAAGCAGTGATCAACAAGGACTTAGCAGGAACAAATCTCCATCGCATCAGTTTAAAACAGTCACCACAAGCAAAACAAATGAAGAAAACCCCCATCTAGCCAGGTGTTCACCCGGCTCTTGACTTTCTCCCCCCTGGGCTCTGTAGCAGCCCTTTTTATAGCTCTCCCTCTCTGCACCTGTGCAGGGGGAGAGGGAACAGAAACCAGACTTAACCCCTTGCTTACTGGGGACCTGGTCTTCCCTCTGCCCCTTGTCACAGGGTAAAATGTAGGATCTGGGAAGAGGAGGCCAGAATGGCCATGTGGAAGATAAAAGCCTTTCACATCTGTTGCTAATTTTATATCGCATGGAATCCAGCTTGTGTCAGTAGTGACTGAAAGTTGTTGCCATCTGCTTCAGCTCTTCAGTAGCTTATTTGAAACGAGCCGATTGGTCTTAGTTCAGTTCCTAGTGAGCAGGTGTCTACATCCCAAAAACAATTAATATGTTAGGTCAGGGACTACCCAGTTTTCCTGTGTTTTGTACTGTACCAAGCACCCTTGTGCTCTGGGATTAACAAACTGCAGCATTTGCACTAACTGGTGCCTTGTTAGAAGTCCTTGGTGAGAAAAAGGTAAGGAGTGATTGAGCAGGGAGACTGAACTCCCCTCTAACCCTAGGAGGTCCAAGGTAGAGAAGGTTGTATTGCCACTGTCCGTGCTGTACCAGTTTTATGCAAAGATAAGTCTGCAGGGCTGTCAACCTGGCATCTTCTGACATGGGCAAGGACCCCTAGCAGGCCAGCCTTTACTCCACCCGTGGTCTTCCGGGGATATTTAGTTGGTGGTTCATGGAGCTGAGTGCGGGCACATGGCTGGCACAGTTCACGGATGCCCCAATGCCTGCCCTTTCTGCAGTGAGCAGGAGACCCTGGCACTTGCCTGCCCCCCAGTGTGACATGTTGCAGCCCCTCTTTCAGCTCCTTCAGAACCTCCTGCTTAGGGTGTGGTTGCACGTGACCTTGTCAGCCTCCTGCTGGCACTGGTCAAGTTGGTCATCCATCAGTCCGGGAGAGGGAAGCTCAATGGGGAGGTTCTCTGTGACTGGGGCCTACTTTTGGTTCTTACTTGTCTCGTGTCTCTGGGCAGAGTTCTGCTGGGGTGCGTCCACTGACTCCTTTGTCAGGGGTTCTCTGCTTAGTGTCACCAGCTGGTACTCTCGTTTTGAACCTTTGACCTCTACTCCTGTCTCTGTTTTAGCATTTGTTGTCCCACTGAATCACATGTGCTCTGTGCCCCCTCCCTCAATTGAGGTGGCTGGCCTTCTGTCCCAGGTGCGGTTAGGGCCCCCCTCCCAGAAGTCAACTGAGCTGGCATCTCTTCTGTCTGTTCACTTTATAAGAAACCTGCTTTTTATGTTAGTGAGACTTTTCTGACCTTAGCTATGACCACATCTCCGGCTTGGATCTGCTTAATAGGGAAAAAAATCCCACTTATTTTGACTTCAGCCTATAAATATCTGACAAAGAACTGCTGAATTAATTTCCGGTAACTGATAAGTGAACCTTCTTCCTCCAGACTTGGTCGGCGAGTGAATGAGTCAGTCTAGTGAATAGATTTGGGTGACTGGTAGATCTCGCTGAAAGGATAAAAGAATTTCATTTTCTTTTTCATATCGGTGTGAATGAGCTGTCGGTATAGATGTCATTCAAGAATCTCTTTGTTATTTTAATGATCCTGCATTAAAGCATGCAGGAAATTACAAGGCATGCGTAATTTAACTATTGTATGTGAAATTATAGCAGTGGAAATTCATAGTTCTCTTGTAATAAGGGGATTATATGTTATTGGAGGTAAGAGGGCAAGAGTGCAACTTGAGGATTTTGTTTATAAAATAGAATTTCTCTTCCCGTTGCAATTCTTTTTTGTGGTGAATCTTTTTTTTATTTCGTAACTGCTGACTTTTCCCATTTGATTTATTGCATGCAATTTTCCTGCATGACTGTTGTTTATTAGCTATTAGGTTTTGGCATCTAACAGGCTGTTTATAGAGCCACCAAGATTGGCAGGTTGGCCTCTTCTAGCTCTGAGTCAGGCAGTATAATTTGCCTCTTACAGTTTCTTTTTTTTTTTTTTTTGTTCAGTCTGAAACTTTTCTTGTCTCCCTGCCTCCCTTTTGTGTGTGCAGGACAGGGTATATTTATGGCTTGCTGCGGCAGGCTTGTTGCAACAGAATTTATTCTGGAGGCGAGGATGTGCCTTAGAGGTGTGTGTGAAGCCTTTCTGTGAGATCTGATGCTGATTGGAATGTTGAGCTAGGTACAAGCTTTGAACATGCATAGGGGCAAATGCCAGTTGTCAACCTGCCGTAATAGAAATAGACTTTCCTTTATCTCCGAAGCCATGACTGGCAGTGCGTTGTACTCCCCTCTGTGGAGATCGGAGCCCTTGTCCTCGGAGCATCTTGACATAGCAAAGGCCAGGAGTTTTTTGAAGACGATGCACTCCTTCCTTAGGAGAGTTGAAACTTGACCTTTATTTGGTGGGTGAGATTTATGGTTCGCACAAGCTGCTGAAGTGATTTCCTAAACTCTGCTTGTGTTTTTTATCTGTATAATAATCGTGTTCAATTTTGTTTTTGCAGGCTGCCAAAAGAGCGATCTTGCTATCGGGAACCCCTGCTATGTCGCGCCCCGCGGAGCTTTATACGCAGATTGTGGCTGTCAGGCCAACCTTCTTCCCGCAGTTCCATTCCTTCGGACTCCGCTACTGTGATGCCAAGAAGGTATTGGAGTGTATTATCTGTGAAATGCTAGCCTAGGATGTGCATGTTCATGTGATCACAAACAGCTGTACAGATCTGGCAGGGTACTTATTTCTTTGCCAAAGTGGAGACCCTCACCCCACTTCTGCTCCTGCTGTGTGTAGCCTCGGCCTGTAATTTTAGGCCGAGTCTCTTCTCTTGCTCACAGCAGTGTTTTGAAAGCTGTCACACTGTGAAGCATTTTGTGCTGCGTGTAAACTGTGTACTTGGGCTGGGGTGAAGCAAAGCTACTCAATTAAAATCTGCCTTAGTGAGACCCTGGCTTAAAAGACCAAAAGGCGACACAGCAGTAGGTGAGTCTGCTAGGAGAGGATCTGCTGCAGGTTTGGGCTGACCATCTGGAAACCAATTTCTAGTCCCGTGTATGTTGATGCTAGTTTTTAACAGCCTGAAGAACTTTGCTGTTTGAACATTGGAGCCCTGCTTTTGCTAAGCCCAGAAGCAGAGGAGCAATGGAGACTATGAGCCACCTGATCTTGGGACCGCCTGGCTGCCGGGCAGGGGCCTGGCATGTGTTAGAATCGCCTAAAAGCTGCCTAAATTTATGCCAGCTGCCACTGGCTCCCAAGGGCCGTCACGGCAGCTATGGCTCAATCAGACACAGCCATGCTGGCAGCAAGGAGGGGTGTGGAGTAGGGCCCGCTACCGCAGCTCTATGCCACTCGCTATACAAGGGGAATTCTCTGGTGCCTGGATTCATAAGGTTCAGGGCTGCTGTGTGCTGGTGGCGCTGGTCTTCGGAGTAGCCCTGATGATTTCTTTGGCTCATGAGACGACCAGAACCTGATAATTTTTTTAACTGGTCTGGTAGGCGCAGAGAGGGGATCCAATGCCACTGCTAAATCCTGAAGCAGAATAAGAAAGTGAATTGAGCTGAGCTACAGAAGGCTTCTAGGCCAGCATATCTTTCATGTTAACTCTTCGCATCCCCCAAAATAAAGATTTGTGATGCTTAGCCCTTGGTATAGAGAATCATGGTTTAGTGGCGTGAACACAGGACTGGGCACCAGGAACGCCTAAATTCTAATCCAGGCTTTTACATGGACTCCCTGTGGAGCCCTGGTCAAGTCACTTAACTTCTCTGTGCTGCGGCTTCTATAAAATGGAGATAATAGCTTCTTCCTTTCCATAAGGGTTCGTGGAGATCAAACCACTGCAGGAGCAGTAGAAGATAACCCGGTGGGTGCTAAATGTCATGCCTATAAGCCATAATATTAACCATCTTTGTTTTACTTGACATGGTTTGGTATTTTGTCACTCTTTGGAGTACCTAGCACTTAGCGGGTCCTCACCGGAGAGCTTTGTACCTAAATTCCATCCAAAGTGGCTACTGAGTCCCCATATCCTGATCATACATTTGGAGCTGTGTGTCTAATAATCAAAGCGCCTACTCTCTCTTTGGGGTTAGCTTGGAGCCAGTAGGGATGCACAAGTGCCCTGCATTTGACTAGCCCATTGGCTTCAGTGGTAATGTATTGACACTGTTGATTTAACTTAAGGTCACACTGCATGGGGAGTCAGGATAGCGAGCCTAGCTGTTGGGTTCTGTAAGATCCCTGCATTACTGTTAGCAAAGTGCAGCGTACCTGGCAGAGAATGGAAACCTCCCATTTCCCCAGCCACAGTAGGATCCCTCGACACACGGGTGACGGTTCTCAGAGTACCCAGGACTGAGTCATTTTGTTACATTTAGCGAGAGGAAGTCTTTTTCTTGTGATAGCTTGGCATCGGCGCCCTGACACTGCCAGCTTTTCAGCCACCCAAGCACTCTCCTCTGGGCTTATGCCAACCCTTCCTTTGCCTTGTAGGTTAACAGTAGGTGCGCCCCAGTCCCCTTGAATCATTCCCCTGTGGTATCCACCCCTAATGCTGGCTACCCTCAAAAATACCAGGTCTGCTGTCCCCGAAGAGACGGTGTACATGCTAGCTTGTAAGATTCAGCTCAGGACCTGCAATTTACTTAGCACCGAAATAAACTTATTCTTGTTTTCACTATCAATATATTATCAAAGTGTAGAGATTCTGGAGAGAATGAGTGAGGATATTGGAAACAAATGGCTACATATAAAGCAAAATCCTAGCATAACGCTTTTTAGAGACTAAGCTCAACGATCAGGTTAACCTCCTGTGTGAAGAAGTTTCTCACCCAAAGTCTTTTGCAGTGTTTTCAATCAAGATAAGCTCAGATCCCATTTTCATAAACGTGAACACACTGCCCATTTAAGTGATGAGGGGGTGCTTTCTTTGCATCCTACATATACCCCCAAAGTTCATTGTCTGTCCTCCGAGACAGGATAACCACCTGTGGCTTGGCTTTTCTGTATGCCGCTTCCCTGTTGACTTAACATCTCCTTTGTTAATATCTGACTTCGTATGTAAATGGGCATCCAGTGTGTTAGTTTATGATGCTTAATTTAAATCTGGACCGAGACACACATTTCCTACTCCTCTCTGGAGGTAAATCTGTTTTTCACGTCTGCCTTGATTTTCAAGCCATATTTTCAGTATAGTGACATAACCCCTAGTGTAGTATCTGAGCATACCGTTCACAACAATGTTAATGACCAATGTAAACTCGGCTTTTATTTAAGACCTCATGTGACAGTCTTTGGTGAGCCAGAATGTACATACCAGAATTGGGATATTCTTGGCATTAAGGGGTTCTTGGGTTACAACGTGGAACTCATTCAGAGGGGCACTGTGCATTCAGCATATCTTTAATGCAGCTCCCTTAATTCTTCCTGTCTGAGCAGTGTTGGTAGCACTTCCTGGGGGGGAACAAGACGTGGCCTAATCTCTCCAGCTTTCTGCAGTGCAAGAGGCTGAATGGTAGTGTGTAGACCCAAATAGGTTTGGTATTTCATAGACCTTTGGGGTAGGGGTCCACATGACTAACTATTGCTTCAGCTGCAAGCCATATGGATCTCAGGTTGGACGTTGAGTTGGACGAAGAACACTGAGTTGACGGAAATAAAAGAGAGCTCCTCACGTACCCACTAGGCGTTCAGCAGCAGGGAAGTATTAAACTGGGTCTCGTAAAGGTCAGTGCTTGAACCACTGTAGAAATGAGCTTGCAATCTACCGTAAAACCAGCAGGAAGGGTCACCGTCAATTTCAACTCCCTGCTTTAAACGGCCGCTGCCAAGCATCCCCAAGGTTTCCATTACAATTTTGTTTCATTGTGAAAGACCCACCTTTACTAGGCAGCTGAGCATTGCTGCTTCTTTAGACCAGTCACTTGAGACAGGTTGTGCTGTCGTTAACGCTGGTGAATGATAGCGGCGACTGCAGTGAACCTGGAAAGAATTCCGTCAGCGATTCTGCAAAGAACCAGGGGGGCTTTGTAACTGGAAAGCAACGTAGATGAGATGTGAGGGAAGCGAATGAGATTTCTGCACGTTAGGACCGTAAGTAGTCCATGAAGGCGGTGGGGGACAGGGCAGGAAACCTGGGGGAAGTTTGTCGATCTGCTATAAAATGACAGTTTCTCTTGGTGTCAGGCTGGCTTTGGTGTAAATCTCTGTAGTGAGAATAATTCAGAAGGTGCTGAGGAAAGGAGGCAGAGGCCAAAATCAGGAAGAGAAGCCTCTGAGGATGCAGGGTTTTGGTTGTTCTGAGTTGAATTGCCCTCCACCCGCACAGTGTGCCTGACCACGTTCCTCGATCTGCTGGCAATGGCTAACGGCATTTTGGGCTGTATAAGTAGGGGCATTGCCAGCAGATCGAGGAACGTGATCATTCCCCTTTATTCGGCATTGGTGAGGCCTCATCTGGAGTACTGTGTCCAGTTTTGGGCCCCACACTACAAGAAGGATGTGGAAAAATTGGAAAGAGTCCAGCGGAGGGCAACAAAAATGATTAGGGGTCTGGAGCACATTTCTTATGAGAAGCGGCTGAGTTAATGCGGATTATTTACTCTGCAGAAGAGAAGAATTAGGGGGGATTCGATAGCTGCTTTCAACTACCTGAACGGGGGTTCCAAAGAGGATGGAGCTCGGCTGTTCTCAGTGGTGGCAGGCCACGGGACCAAGAGGCATTGTCTCCAGCTGCC